TTATTTAATTTGTCTCTAATCGTGGCCGGACATGATCGTTTTTTTAATACGTCATCTGCGCGTAAATAACAAGTTACATACCAGTGTTTATGAACACAAAAAACTAATCCTAAGTTTAAATGGCAGCACCATTAGTACTTAACGTGTTCACAAACTGAAACAATATACAAATGTAATACTACATGACGAAAACTATACATCTTTTGTTGTCTCATTACTCCTGTTATTTTAAATTTCGGCTGATAGGAGGAGCGCTTATTCGAAGTGGGCGCTTATTCGAGGGGGGCGCTAATTCGAGGATTTAAGGTACTTGTTTTCTCTTTATTCGTTACTGCGTTACTCTGTTTAGTAAGGAGGACATTGACATAAAGACATAAGGTTAGATGAAAAGAAGACTTTAAAAATTGAGCAAGAAACCCTTGTTGCATTTGCGATAATTATGTTTCTTTTTCTTCTGTGACGGTGTCATAGAAGAAAATTCTAAAATTGATGTGCCTGATATCTTTCATCAAGAAGCTAGGGGAGTACACGGCCATGCCAGTATCCACAGCCTCATCAGAGGTCTTAGTTAAAAGGATCGAAAATATTATTTGGTAACCAGGATTAATCTTCCTGATCTCACTGACAGTCGCCAACTTTTTGAAAAAAGTGGTGGTGGCGGACTGGGTGCGACCGTTTCTGCGCCGCGCTGATTGGTTCTTTGTTATTGTTGTTTCAAATATCACTAGTACTTTAAATCATTTACTAAATCCATTTCAAAATCACTGGTTATCCTTGCAATCTGATTGGCTCTCAGAGGTGCGATTTATTCATGAATCGCACTATTTTTTGCTCTAAATCGCATCTTTTTCTCAGCCGAAGCGGCTCTTGCAATTTCAGCTTTTTGAAAAACTCACTCGTGCAAATTAAAGGGACACGGTCACGGTCTGCGCATGCTCGCGTGGCCGATCGAAACTTGAAAAAGTCAGCCTGACTTTTTCAAGTTAGCATTCACAAATTCAAAATGGCGTCGACTAGTGGAGGATCCAGACATGGCAGTAAACGCGTCAACTCAGGGCGGAAACGAAAGGTTGAAGACAGAGGGGAATACAAGAAAGTGTGGCTGAGAAACCACAAGCGTGTTTATGTGGAAGTAAAGATATTTAAGTTGTGGCTACAAGCAAAATGTGATGCAGGTTATGAGTCTTTTAGTGACGGCAACTTCGCGACT